AATCAGATCTTGAAATCAGAATATAAAGCAACATGAAGATATGAGCATTTTGAAAAAACTAATTACTTTAAAAGGCATTTATTTTATCTAAGGAAAGATATAGAAAATAATGATAATAAACCTTAGCATTTAAAATTAGTTCATTTGTCACATAAAAATCAAGTAAATTCTTATTTGTTCTTACTTCTTTTTCCACTGAGTTCTTCCAAAGCAGAATTGTTTCCAGCATCCATGGTATCTAGAAAGTGACAGGTGGTGGTCAGAGAACTGTAATTTGTAAATAAAAGTTATAAATCTTATGACAATTCACACTGTGTGAAAAGCTTGAGTTTACAATGATGTTGTGAGTATCATTTCCCTGTCTTCCTTCTAAAGGAAACAAACAGGTACTGAACTGATATCTAAGGACTTCCTTTAGTTCTCTAAGAGTTTTAAAAAGTTCTTAATTAATTGCATGCACCAATTTCCTCATTTACGAAACAGGGATAGCAGCAGTTATTCTGTGCAGGTTTTCAATATTTTATGAAGATTAAATAATAGGAAATCACATATAAATCAATAACATGTTGGAGGACTTCCTTCAAAACTATGTATTTTTAGTTTAACAGTAGTTACCTGAGGTCTTTTTCCTGACAGGTAACAGGCTTTTTAGGCCTTTCCAAGGTTGTGACAAAGTGACATTATCATCTACCAATGGAAGAACATGGCTTGCTTTGTTCTGCAAACAACAGTGAAAGTCACTGTATAAATCCAACACTTTAGTATTGATATGCTAACATAGGAAATGAGATACCGTTTGTACCCCTGTATTTCTACATCACCCATACATAACCAAGAGAGCCCATCCTGTTAAACATGGCTCTATAATGACCTCCTGCCTCCCTGCAGTTCCCAAAGGGTCAGGCCAAGCAAATGCAGAGAACGGGATTCTGGCCTGGATCAGGCCTGTTCCTTGTCACAGTGTGCTCACAGTCAACTGTGCAGGAATCAGGAGCTCTGATTTTAGACTTTTGAACTTCTGACACTTGGGGTCTGTGGGCCCACTTCCTGTTGGTGAGCCAGAGGCTGCTTCATGTTCTCCTTGAACTCTGATCACCTGTCACAGCCCTCCCTAGTGTCTGTGGTATCCACTCAGCCATGTCCATCCCAAGACCCTTGGGCAGCGTTATCCGTCATGTCACGTGTTTGGCTACTTTCTATTGTTGCTTCTTGACTTCTTGGTACTCCATTTGAAAAACACATGACACAGGAACATTTCTCCTTTTCAGGTATTTGGAGGTCTGCTCCTAAACTGTAATTTGTAAATATTTTTATTTGTGCCCTACCCCCTCCAAACATAGTGACTACTAACTTCTATATTAAAGCATGGATCTACCTCTGAAATCTCTTTCTATTGCTTTGTTCCTCACTGTGTTTGCCCCTTCCTTTCATGGTTGACTCCAAGAATATCAATTTGAAAGAAAGAATCAATTAACAGTGTGTTTCACTGATGGAGAATACTGCAGAAGCAGAGGCTGGTATTAGGGAAAAAGATGAAATGCTCAGTTTTGGAAGAGTT